TGTACTCTGAGGACATCAAATTGCTGCAAGGTGTAAAATAATTTACATAGGCATGTGGAATTAACAGTTACAGCGACTCTAAGTGATCATTATGAATATTCAGAGACCATTTTCAAATCTTTATAATGATTTTATCAATACCAACATATCTTTCATACCTGGGGGTGCTTTCAAAGTCAAATTCTCATAAAATGTAAAGATTAATGTTCACAGTCAGTGAGACAAAATTAAACTTTCTTGCCCCTAAGTAAAATATTCTGAGTTAGCACCTGAGCATTTCTCCTGAACGTTCCTTCAATGATGGACTGTAGGTATTTAGTTGTTTTGATTGCCAAGAGATCTCTGTTTTACTATCTTGGAAATTAAAAAAATTCAGGAAGTTGGATGCATAGTCTAGGTCAATGTTGTCGAACCATAGAGCCACAAGTCACGTGGTTCATAAAGAGTCTCACAGTGGCTCACTTCATCTTCAGCAGAAAGCACACGTCTCAGACAATTCCCGCTGAATAATTTGCTTACAATTTATTTAAACGCCTCATATGTAGGCGGCAAAAAATTCTCTCGTCAGGCTTCTCAAATATTCAAATGTCATCCGAATAATCAAACAAAATAGGTATACACAATTGATACATTTTTTTGAGTGATAGTATAATGATGCAAATTTCGATATTAAACACATAATTCCCACAAACTGTTTTCAATGTATTTAAATGAATATAGCTTGCCCCTCATGAGGTCTCCACTCTTTGTATGTAAATGTTTGTCAGTTAAATATCAACACCTTTTTTGACCGGTGTGACTCAGAGCAAATCTGGTTTCGGCTACACTGATCTTGATAGATCATATTTTTACCCTTGCCTGAAACCTCACATTTTATTGTTACTGAATTTGTAATTTGTTGTGAATCGTTATTGAGATAACTTGGTGAATTCACTGGTTGATCGCTATAAGAACAGAAATTAACATAACTTGGAAATTAATTCAGAGTAAATGGTCTTGAAGCTCTCTTGTGAGTCCTTGGTTATTTCTGAAGTATTTTCAGCGATTGTTTTTCAGTTCTATGTAAAAATCTGCTGTGGTTTTGATGACAATTTCTCACAACAGTGGCACCAGCTATTTGCGGCAATGGCTAAAGTTACATTACAGCAGTGATCCATTGCCTTATGGATGCTTAAATTAGTATTTGAAAAGAACATTAGAGCAATACTAATGGCCTATGTGTCACTTGATGTCCTTCATGTACATAATTGCAAAGGGCGTTGGATAGACCCAGTGAGAGTGAAGTGTACAGCATTTTTAAATACCTGTATCTGTTCTTACCCATCTCTATTCTTTTCCTTGATTTTTTTTTTCTCTGAATGGGAACATCTCAGTCGCGTTTCATTTTCGGAGCCACATGAACAATATCTGCTTTTAAAATCATTCCTCCTGAAGTCTGTCAAATGTCGCTCCGTTTGTGAAAGGCTGACTGTTATCGACTTGTTTTTATTAAACCTGTGTTCCTATTGTGTTGGAAATGATTTTCATTAGCTGTAATATCAGGGTCCCTTCCTTGCACAGGAGAGCTTTCAAATCCCTGTACAGCAAAGCTTTGCTCTACGAATTGTGATTAAAGTTTTTTTTGGCTGTTCTCCCTGATTTGTTAATGTCCATTGAGGGTTCAATTACTGTGTTTGTTATTGGTTTCTACATTCCCTTACATTCCCTGTGCTTTATTCCAATATCAGACTTAGTCTCCAGAGATGCACTATGAACCATTCTGTATTAAAAGTACAGAGCTCGACCACAAATAACATTAGTGTGGGAGGCATGATTTTGTAAAACAATATTCAGTAGAATCTTTTTGCTATGTAATGCATTCCTAATTCAATCAATTACAAAGGTAAAAAATCGCTCCAACAGGCTTGATGAAAATGTATGTGAACACATTTAAAGATCAGCAATATAAAAGTAAACGTCATTCGAAGTGGTTTATAACTATCTATTAATTATTATTAATGGATTATTTAAGTTTGTTATAATGCCGAAGAACATTTTGGTGATTGCATTGATTTTGGGTAAAATACAACATGATTGGATTGTTTTTTTTTCTATTGATGTGTTAAATATTTTTTTCTCCTTTTACCACCTAGTGCTGTAGTGGATAATTATCAGAAATCTCCCAATGTAACATTAAACCACTTATTATCAATCTCCCTTCTCTCTTCCCTCACTCAGAAAATGCATCTCACCTGCACTCAATGTCTTTTCCAGACGCCACAGCTAAGGCTCAAACCTCATTATGGGAAAGAATTTTGCATCCAAGTGCTCAATAATGCATCATTATCCTGTCACATCAGGTTGTGCCATCTGAGTCATGTTAATAATTAAGCGTTTTCAGCCTCATGATTGAAGGTCCATGATAATTCAACATCCATAACCTATTACCTGCTAACAATATTGTTATTTAGCAATATTTTCCTTCTCTTTGGTATTTTTTTACGCCTTGCAAGGGGCTTCCGTATCGATTCCTACGGGAATTTTCCTGAGAGAAAATTTATCTTAGCAACAGCATCACCAACGTGCCTTTATATAATACTCGTCATTTAATGTCTTGGAGAGTTTCACGAGGGCACAGTCAGACCAGGGGGAGGCGACTGTAGGTGGTGTCGAAGAGGTAGGTTTTTAGCAGGATTTCAAGATGGATAGAGAGGGGGTGGAAAGAAGTGATGAAGTCCAGAGGTTGTGAATATAATATTTGAAAGCTCAGCCCCCGTAGTGGCGCAGTGGGGATGAAGGAAGCACAGCAGGTTGTTGAGTTAGTCAAGGGGAGTGAACAAGCAGACGAGTGGGATATGTGAAGGTCACACAGAAAGGGAAGTGCTGGGGAATGAAGATCTTGGTGTGGATGAGGATCTTGTAGCACTTCAGTTTGACATGGTAAGACAATGCAAATGTATTGTCACCATCTACTACTTGGAATACTTTATTTTTAGTTATTATAATTAGCATCAGAATCCCAATAATGACATTGAAGTTTCAGTGATTTCAATGAAGATCAAAGTTTTGGTACTGGAACACTAAAGAGTTCTAAAAGTTGTTAGAAATAGTTTGAAACTAAGAGTATGATGTAGAACAGGATATTATTGGATGTTTTCCTTGCAAAGTTGGTAACATTTTCACCTCTGGGTCAGAACATTGTGGGTTCAAAGGTAAACAGATAAGTAGGAAAATGGCACATTACATTACCTTTATTTTTTCATACCTGGGTTACCTCTGACTTTGATAATAATACTAATAATTATTGCATTTGATAGAGGCCTTATCACGTTTTTGAGACGTCTTCAGATGGGCCGAGTCCCATTGCACATGATGGCCTGTGCAACCCTTGTCTAAATATTTCTGCAGCCAGAAAATAAACCCAGTTCGCTTCTGACAACTGTGAACACACAGTTTGTGAAGATCAGAATCTGCCTCACAGTATAAACCATCTGAATTCCGTACTGCCTGTGGGTTTTGAATATTATATAGCAGTTTGAAGTTGTGTTGTAATTTAAAAGCAATATAAGACCAAAAAGAATATCTAACAGGAAAAGGTTGGCCTGGAGGCAAGAAGAACTAATGGTATTCAGGGCAAAGAAAGAAATACTATTGCAATAAAAGAATGAAAACAGATTGTTTTTTTTAAAGTTTTGAAGGATAAGCTTTTATACTAATGCAAGGAGCATTGGGAATAAATTCTTATTAGTGCTTTTAGCAGCTAGCAAACATATTAATATTGCCAGTATTACTGGGACGTGCAAGCACATTTATTAGGCACATATTATTGTTAATAATAATAGATTGTAGTTAGCTCTTAAGCAAGTCAGGGAAACTGTAGGAAGATTCATATAATAATACTGTAGAGGTAAAATGGACAAATCATGGAAAATCCAAAATGGATTTAACAGCAATTGAAAGTAACAGCAATTTTATAGGTGTAATCCCTGATCACTCAACACAAAATATTCAGTCAATTCACTTTACAATATATTCTGTGAAGCTCATTTAGACTTCTCGAAGATGTGATAAGGCGCTGCATCAAATGCAAGGAATAATATTATTATTATTATAACACACTAGGTCCTGGTTTGATTCCCAGTATCAGCAACTGATCTGCTGTTCAGAGTTCAATGCTACATTTCCTAGTTTTTTTTTAATATTCAAATGCAAATTGATAGCTCTGGCTTTTATTTTTGGAAATTGAACATATTATGCCAGTTGAGAGAAATATTAGCTATTCTTGTAACAAAAAAACTGCTTAGTTATTTCCTCTGTAGTGCTTTGAATCACAAATAATATAAATTGTATTATGCTTGAAGGCTTAGTTGAGGAAGGGCAGGAGGAGGCTCATGTTGAGCATAAACACCGGCATAGACTAGTTGGGCCGAATAACCTGTTTCTGTGCTGTATATTCTAACGTATTCTAATGTAAGATAAACCATTATGCAAAATTCATATTTTGTGCATATGTCTAAAAATACTTACATTCCTACAAACTATAAGCAATTTTATAGAAAGTTTAATGCAACCGGTGTAAAGAATGGACTTGCAGAGTGACAATGAGATTATTTTTGAATGAAGAAGGCAGTTTGGCCCATTTTATCTCATCCTTCCATAGCAAAACAATTGCTGATGTGGAATACGATATTTGAAAAATATTTGGATTATTCTAAAATGATTAACTCGGAGAAGAAACATCATATTTCTTTTTTGTGTTTACTCATGCAGTAAAATGTTGTAATACAGTAAGAAGCAGCCAAAGATAACCATCCACTGAATTTCAAGGTGTAAACTTTGATTTGATGGTATTTTATGATAACCCACCTTTGAAGAGTGGTATCCCAAATCATAATAGTTTTTCATGCAAGTTCTGTTGAATTACCTGACATTTAATTTTCTCTTTTTCCCCAATAAAACAAGATGGTCTAAATAAAACAGTAAGGCAATATAAACGTTTAACACCAGTTCTTTTTTTTCAGGAGGTGCAGATGATAACCTAATTGAAGGAGGAGGCACAACTTTTGTCTGTAAACCAGGGGCTCGAAACATAACTGTCATCTTCCATCCATTGTTAAGGTATGTTGGAGTGAAAAAGAGTGCACTTACACTGCAGATACGTCAATCCAGAGGCCCAGCAGCATGATGGTCTGCAATTCTTCGTGCTCCATTACTTTCTCCATTTAATTATTATGTTTTGAAACTTAGCCCTGAAAGGACTTACCACAATTCTTTGTGTGACCTGTCCACCATTCTCACACCAATTAAACCATAGGTCAAATACATTCCTTGCAGCATTGTGCTTTACTCCTAACCCTAAAAGACCATCCTTAATCTCCAATTAGTCACTTGAAATGTCTTAACTCTCGCTTCAATCTCACTAAGGAAACAGTTTAGTTAATGTTGGAATTGAAGACCGTTTTATGTTGTGGATTGTACCGTACAGTAGACGTAGTTGCAGCTGCCCAATTCACATCACTCACGATGTTCAACTCCTCTAGAAGAGAGGAAATCTCATGTCACATGGCTATATTTCAGCACAGGCTTTGGATCACCAAGTGACTTATCTTTGTAATAATGCAGAAGTGTGCTCCGTACATATGCAAGTAAAACAAAGTGCATCATGTAATACTCAAGTTAGTTGTGGTTGTATTCTACTCTTATTGTATTCTTACTTTCCCTACTTTCTAAATTGGACTGTTTTATCTGTGTGGTTGGCATGAATGAAACCAATGTTATTGCATATCAGGCCATTGGAAGACACTGTTTTCAGATTATATTTGTTCAGCACCTTTCACATCGGGAGGACATGCCAAGGCGCTGGACAATCAAGGATTTGGACCCGAGGGGGTTGGGATCATAGGAATAGGAGGGTGCCCGAAGGCACGGTCGAAAAGCAAGGTCTTAAGAGGTTCCTTTAAGAAGGCAAGAGAGGGAGCAAGGCGAAGGGACTGTGGAATGGAGTTCCAAAGGGTGGAGGGAGAGAGGCTGATATACTTGACAAGCTAGTGCACAAAAGGAAAGTAAGATAGATAGAAAGTAAGTAATATTCCAAGCAATACAATACAATTTACATTTTTATTTTGTCTTGATGTGCTTAACACTGCTAAATAGGCACTTGAGCCAGGGGTGGGAACTAATGGGTGGGAGGAGAAATATGACAAAGTGCAGTCAAAGAGGTACATTCTGAGACATTTGTGTGCTCAAGCAGTTTAAAGATGGAGTAGAAATCACATTCATATTAGAAAATACCAAGAACGCAGGAATGCATTTTACAAACCAAAAATGTAGCCTCAAGAGACAAGTCAGTGAATCAATCTGTACTTGTTGCAAAAAAAATTGCAAATCTTTGGAAACTCACAAATCATACTGTGTATATAAATCAGAAGAATCTGTTCTTCAAAGTTGAGCAGAGTGGAGCTTGCAATTAAAATGCAGATAACAAATTTATTGAACATGCAACATGAGATTCGAAATATATTGATTGCTGTGCTTCACAGCCTGTCAGTGGAAGGTAAGTTTTGATGTAAATTTTTCTCCTCTGAATTTTGATTTATGATTGATTGATGAAGTGTTGAGTTTCCCAGCAGATCAATCAGTGTTTAGCTTTACATACTCTGGTTTCTAGGTGCCATTTTCTTTTTATCCCTTTGTCTGCACAAAGCCAGGGAGAGGATAACGATCCTTGATACTTGATACCATAAATCCCGGTAAAATAATGAATTAAACTGGACCACATAAGATGTAAACTTATTGCTGTAATTTCCGCACTTATAAAAATGATATTGTTAACACCGAACAGGATGTCAACAACTCGCTCATTCTCAGCGTGTTATTGACAGCAGTAGAGCATTCTCCAAACTCCCAACAAGTTTGAGGCAGTAATGTCAAGTGACTTTTGAAAGCTCAAAAGCCCAGTAAACCAAACGAGCAGCTCAAAACATGTCGGAAATAGTGATTAGACTGTAGGAAAATTGAGGATAACAAGCTGATTGAAGGATTCACACTATCCTTCAATTGACTTGTCTATTCTCAAAAACCTAGCACAGTGGAGGCGTGCATCCATTGTCATTTAAATTCACACCAATCATCATTATTCTATCTGCAATCACATTGACATTTCTGATGCTGGGGATGAGGCTATTATTAATAATAATATATCATTTTAAGCTTTTTCATCTGAGCACTCGTCCCCAAAACCGAGGAAACTTTTATTCGACTTAGAAATTTAAAGCCAATTCTCGTCATCTAAAATAATGTAATGATAAAATCCCTGCAGTTGATATAGCGCCTCAACACATTGTTGAATGTCCCAAAGCGCTTCCCATGATTTATTTTATAATGTAGTGATTGCATTTATAGGTAAATAAAACCAGATAATGTTACAAATGCACCCAGGTAGATAAGTATCTGAAAGAAAGAGATAAATTAATGTTTGAGTGAATGTCCATTGCGATGAAGAATTGGACACAAAATGTTGAATTATATTCCTCTTTCAAATGCTATTGACTTCAGAACTCTTACTCATTTCCATTGACTTCAGCAAATTTGGTTGGCACCCATTTCCACTAAATTTCAAATGCAAGGATTATTATTATTATTATTAAATTCAACATACTTGTCTTGCACTACATTGATTCAGGCACACCAACTTGGTACCCACTTCCATTGACTTCAATAGACGCCTTTTCAACAACTTGGGTAGATATGATGTCCTCATATCCATTTGAATTGGCTTTGCCAAATTTGCCTGGCATTCATTCACATTTACACATCCTTGACACTCATGTCTTTGAAGTTCCCTAAACATAGTTACTCTGTTTGTTATATCGGACTGCATATAGGTAGCTCAACAAGGAATGTAAGTTTTATTTTACACCATAAATGTCTGGCAGAAATATCAGTGAATGGATACTTTACACTTTACATCCGAGAGAATACAGCTTACAACAGATTACATCTGCTTTTCAGGTTACTCCAGATGTTCCAGGAGTGTGATAATAAAAATAATCACGTTTGATATAACGCCTTATCACATTGTTGAGACGTGATAAGCATGCTTGATGTTTGCTTGGCAACCGCTTTTTATTCTTCCTTGAATGCAATGGCCTTCAAAAGCACTGAGCTCTCATCAAATCCTGACATTTTGTGCAGTTTGTTTCCATGTGTTCTGTTGATCTATGGTACGAAGCTAGCAGCCAGAACAGGAGCATATTGATTACAAACAGTTTCCAGGAACAGATTGAATTGCTTCAGGGGCTGTGCTGTGTGACAGCATTGTTTAATTGCTGGTGAAAATGCCAATGATCTTAATACTGTGGAACACCATTTGCCTAACGGGCATCAACATATTGGAGTATCTCAGTATAAATATCAGCCACACTGTTACAGTTAGTTATAATTATGAATTTGAAATGTGAGGGAGATGAAGGGCGGAGCTGGCTAATAATAAAAGATCTGTGCTATTGAACTGGCCCAGTTTGAGTACCTCAAGTTTCTGTTAAAGACACAGCAATTGTGCCTTCAGCTGGCCAGGTGAACAGAAGGAACACAAGATGACTAGTCTGTCCTTGTGCAATATTTGCACAGCAGTGTTTGCAAAGTAGCACCTCATTAGAACACCCATTTATGGGTCTCCAACATCAATGGTGTGACCCCAAACACTTAGCAGAAATTTTGGTTGTAAAACGGTTCATCTTAAAGGCAGGATATAATATGATAATAGTAATAATAATCCTTGCATTTGATATAGCGCCTTATCATGTCTTCGAGGTGTCTCAAAGCTCAAAGTGAAATGACTGTATATTTTGTGGGCGAAATGCAGCAGCCAATTGCGCACAGCAGTGTCCCACAAACAGTCGTGGATTGAGTGACCAAATGATTATTATTAATTTTAACGGGATTATTACCCCAGAAAAGCGATCCGCCAGTCGACTAACAACTAGGTTCCTACTTACTGCTAGGTGATCAGAGATATGTGGAGTAAGGAAACTTGCCCAAACTTTCGCCCTGCCCGGGAATCCTCAAGTCCTTTCGCTTGCGAGGCAAGTGCTCTAAAGTGTAAAGATATGTAAATTAATTGAGAGAAGAAACAAGAAGAATAAAATTTATGTTTATATTTTTTCCAATTTTACTCTGTTATTTTTGTTTTAGATAACTGAGATCAGCTTTGCAGATGCTTTAAGAAAGATACAATTGTATTTTGAAAGTGTGAGAGTTTGAGCCAAGTGCGTAATTTTTATGTCACAATGAAACGTGTGAACTTTGTCCCATTAATGTGACACGTTAAAAGATCAAGTTTGATGCATTGTGAAGAGAAACAAAAGCTGAAATTATTTTTCTTTACAAAAGATATCTTTTGTATTAGCTGAATAAGGTAAACCGATTCCTCCCCACACATGATTTTATAAGAGAGGTGTCACGATTTGTAAGTTGTCAGGATTTAGTTTAGCTTCACAGTCTTGCTTTTCTGAAGCGAAAATATCAATAATCTCTCAGATAACATTTTCCAAATATAATGGTTTACATAATCCATCCTAAATGTTCAAATGCTATATTTAGATCAAGATGGATTAAGTAAAAGATGGAACGAAAATTAAAGAAAAATTCGCAAAGATTAACCAACCAATATGTAGAACCAGATTTCAGACTAGGATTCTTGAACGTATTCTCTTTTCTCACAAGATGAAGTAGTGAGCAGGTGAATGGTTTGCAGTAGTTTCTTTGGAGAAAAACACTAGCACAGATTTGAATAACTAGACGAATAACCTGGGACTGTGCTCTAACATTGTCGGATAATAATCCTTGCATTTTACATTGTGTCATTCAAGTGAGGAGGGCATCTAAAAGCACTTCACAGGAGTTTACTGAATAGTGACTAATTTTGCAGGCGACTGCAATAGCTAAATTGCACACAGCAATGTCCCCCAAGCAATTCTATATAGATTCTATGTTTGGAATAAAATACCAAGTAAGATAACGCCAAAAACTTATGGTTACTCAAAATACAATGAGTTTCTCAGCTCAACTTCTCTTACATAAATCGTGAAATTGCCAATTTAGTGCCATTTGTACTGTGG